CTCCCCGTGGACCCGCGCGCAACGAACCGGATCCACGCGGCAAACGGATCCGGATTTGTCGCTCGGACTTCTGCCACGGTAGTCCCGTGGGCTCGCCTCAGAATTGGTATTTTTTTTTATTCCTTTTGGCTGAAGCCTCTTTATTGCATTAACTCTGTCCCAGACGTAGAGAATGATGACACCCGTGGTTGGAACGCCTTTGTTTGGCAAAGCAACCCAAAGATCTGGCTGATTGTAAAAAAAAACGTTACGTTTTAAAATAAGCGTTAAATTTAACGGCAAGTTTTGTAATGATGGTGTTAAACAGGGTTGGAGAGTTCCACCCCGCCTTCACGCGGCGATGAATCGCATCACCGTTTGTTATTGTCTCGTTTGTACAGTTTTGTTCGCTCCATTATCCCTGAATGTCATCATCGGCATCGTCAGCCATTCTCTATCCACTGCTGAGCGAAGTCAGTCCTCCTCCCCACCCCCCCATGAAGTCCCACGATACAACAACCCGTTAGGGCTGCGGGCCGGTATCATGGGCCCCCATCCCCGCAGAGGGAGGCCATCCTGTGTTCTCTCCTCTGGCTGCCACTCTATTGTCAGTCTCGAAGCGTCGGCCATCGCCCCTTCAAGCGACCTACCTGAAGTACGCTCCGATTTCTCTTTCAACTTGCGTGCGTTCTCTCATCCGCGAATTCGTCGTTCGAGCGTTGCGCCCCCCTGCCCTTCCATTCCTCGCTTCGTATTCCCCCTGCGTGCCTTTGATGAGCGCGGCTGGCCGTGTACGTTGCGCGAAAGAAGTTCAACACGCGCACATACACGCCGCTTTTCGGCCGGCGTTCCCTTTCACCGACATCCCACGTTCGCCGAGCAGTCTGCACGATGTCACTGGTGGCCGAGCCTGCGGTCCTCTTACTCCTCCGCAGTTTCCTCTTTGTGTCTCGCGGTGTGCGACAGTCCGATCAAATACAAAAAATTCCGGGGGGGGGGGGGGGGGGGGCTGGGGAGGGGGATTGAGGGAGGAGGTGTAACGGGGGTAGGAAAAACAAGCGCAAGCGTTGTGCGCCCTCCTCCCCGTCCTCCTCATCTCTCTCTCTTTCTCTCTGTGGTGCGTGAGGAATGTTGGCGGCGGGAGTAAAGGAGAGGTGCAGACGTGCAGGTGATGCGGGGACCGCGGGCTCCGGGCGCGGCGTGTAACATGTGCTCGGTATAACGCGCCTTACCTCACCGTGCCACCGTATAAATCAGATGAAAAATTGGCAATTGTTTCAAATTCCTTTTGAACCCGGCTGCAGCGGTGTGGGGTGGGCGGCCCGGGGTAGCGGGGGAAGAAAGAGATGGATGTGGGGGTGGGGACACGGTAGTTGGGGGTGGGGTTATGAACGTCTCCCATTCTGGGTCGGACTTACGCGACGCAGAAGAGAAACGGCCGGCACCATGCACAGGAGGTGCAGTAAGCTGGTGCGGGGCCTACGTTATGGGCAGCGGAGGGCAGTGCACCGAAATGCATAGGCGCACTGCGCTGTGCCGTGCTCCCCACTTCAACCAATCCACAGTGACCAGCGTGGCGAAGTACAGGTCAAAAGACCCACGCGGCGTGGCGAAGCCCTCATCCAGCGGTGTGATTGACAAAAGGACTACGCAAGTAAATCGTACGCAGATATAACGCTCGACGGTGGCCAAACAGCTCGGGGGGGCGGGGGTGGGGGTGGTGAGGCCGTGTGAGTGACAGGGAGCCGGCTCCACTGAGAACCTGGGATCGAATCCGGGTTGCAGGCGGGGACCGGCGACACGGTGTCAGCCAATCACGCGGAGAGGGAGCGGTGGGATTGAGTTTGATCGTCAGCACTTAGCCAGTGACGGACTGGAGAGGCCTCTATCCAACAGCGAACCGAACTTGGCTCATGATGATGATGATTTTTTTCCAAACACTGCACTGGTAGTTCAATCGGCGGGTCACATGTGGTGGGGTGAAGTGTGGGGTCCTCCCACCTCTTCCAAGACTTTTCTGGCCAGCGTGGAAGAGTAGGCCAAAGACACTCTCTTGAGAGAGGTTTTCTAGAGCTCCCTCTAGGGCAGGCCCTTCCGCCAGCAGTGACGTGAACGAGACATTGCGGAGCTGCACCTTTACCTATTCTGTGCTGTATATACAATGTTAATGTCGCTATGCTCAGCACAGTCTAGGATTGCACAGCTGCAGTTCACAGCTGTGGATGTAGCAGAGTGTAAGCGGGGCTCTGCTCTACCAGGGAGGGAAATTAATCTCGTAGTTTACTCATGAAACTAGAATGGTTAAAACACAAAGCAGACTTCTCATAATCAAGCCTATTGTTCATTTCCGCAGTCCGATTTTTCCACCCCGAAAAATAATAGCGGGTCAAAGTTCCGGAGATTCACAGCTCCTACGCCAGATCCTAAATGGCTTCATATCCTTCCTGGATTAAAGTTCTCAACGGTCTCGTGTATAGAGCTCATATGCGTCACTTCACTGGCTTGTCATTAACTGTACTATTTCATGGCACCATCATCATCATCGTCACAACACGATGAACGCACCAATGCGTAGGTGTTTCGCGGTTGTGCTTTTTAGCTCTGATATGTTTTCAGTCGAGTTATCGACCGGATAATCAGTGGAGTGATGGACCACTTACATCACCAGATCGCCCACTCCTTATGAGTGTGGGCATTGCTGTGCGCGCGAGTTAGCACACGTGTGGTTGTCGAGTGGGGAGCGGTAGCGTAGCGGTGAGAGCGTTATGCTACAAACCCGGCGACCCGAGATTGATTCCCGGCCAACACCGGTGACGATTATCCAAATCGGTCCTGGGTCTCCCCTAGATCGACTCAACCTCAAATTAATACTTGGTAGGATGCGTAAACATTAACACTGGGGAGACAACGGCGGCCGGGCGTGGTACTGACCACCCACCCCCTCGTGTGCCGTGCCGGCCTTCATTAGGCGCTACTCGCCAAGCAGCGTTCGCCCCAACAGTCTGTGAAGGCTACACGGGGGATCTTTTGTCATTTGCGAACGTGCTGCTCATTGTCCAACTAAATTGGAGAAGCTTCCAGCGCGTGGAGAGGTACGTTGGACATCGTACAAGTGGTGCAACGAGCGCCAACACCCGAACACCCAAGGCGAGAGCAGTTATGCAATTTAACCTGGGAGTTTTCGGGTTACTTTGAGCATTCATAATGGACTGCATTCACAAGAGTGCGCAACAACAAACATTCTAACTTCTTGAATTTTACGGCATTTTAATGGCAACTTCATCTCACGGTGGTGTACAAAATTGTGAGACCGGTCCATCACAAGGAACGAGGAGGTGTAGGTCCACTACACTATTACAATTATAATAATAATTGAGTTTGTTGTCAGTCCACATCTACATGAAGGCCTCTCCATAGTGTCAGTCATGGTCGCTGTTTGTCCAAACTTCACCGCACCGCTCTTCGCGGGTTGGCAAAGAGGAAGCCCGGCACCGGGTTAGACTTCACTCGCCGCTGATGTTAGCCGTGGCTGGGAATCGAACTCAGGGCACCAGGTTAAACGTGCAGTCTGCTAACCACCGTGCCACCACTGCCCCGTGCACTGTACACCGTTAGGTTTTGTTGAGAAGAGGCTGACAGCCATAGACAGAGGGGAATGGGAATAGGAATGAGAATGGGAGGGTATTTGGGGATAGGCAGAGGAGAATGGGAAGGTATTGAGCCTGGACTTGAACTGGGGCAGGGAGTCAACAGCATGGACGTGTGGGGTGAAGGAATTCTAGACCACGGTGGGGGAGTAGCCAAGGGTAATGAGCCACAGTGCACTGAGCAAAGTCAACCGGTGGCTTCAAAACAAAACCGAAATCCTTGGTTGCTGGAGAGAAGACTGCGTGGAGGGGAGTAGAGAGAGATGAGGGGGTGGAGGTAGGATGGATGTGAGCGGGCATCGTTGTTTTACTCAACGACAACTAAAACTCAAAAGCCACGGTGGCGGAGAGACACGAATCGCCCCCCCCCCCCCATGCATGATCAACGGCAGACACCACCGCTCCCCATCGACGAGGCGAACGGACGAGCCTGAGAAAGTCGAAATTCTGCTGCCATCCGCGGTAACAAGAAAACCCCGCGGTGTCTGGCCGGCAACTATGGCGGCGGCGGTAGCGCCGCATCCTGTGTGCACGTACAGTATGCCGGACTTCTTTTGCACCGTGCGTAGCCGGGCGTGCTAGTCGGAGGTCGACGCCACAGACGGCGTCTGCACCCCAGCCCCACCCCCGTGGCATTAACCCACCTGACCCCTCCCCCAACAATACATCTAGGGACATAGGCAGAGGGTAAGAGGAGTATTGCTGCGTATAGTTCGTGTATGATGATGACCAATGGCCATCATTATACGCTCACAAAACGAGCAGAGTGCCGGACAGCTAAAAACACGCAGCGACTCGGCACACTCGCTGCACAGGTGGCGCATCTGCCGGTCATCTCTGTCAGTTAACACACAACACCTGGGTCTGGTCCGTGATTTCCTGCAGGAAGCCTTTGACACTTCACGTGACGTCAAAGTGCACCTAGCCTGGCACAAGAGCGGTGGTGATTTCACCCGTACTTAGTGTGTATCTGTGTGTGCGCATGCAATGCCTCTGTGTGTGTGTATATATCTGCGTGTTTGTGTGTATATCTGTATGTGGTTAGCATGCTGCGCTACAAACTGGGCGACCCGAGTTTCATTCCTGCTCACAATCAATAACAGTGGTGAATATTTGAACCAGTCTTGGGCCTCCCATAGGTAAACTCAGCCTCAAATGAGTACCTGATGCAGTGTGTAAACATCACCACTAGGGAGACAAGGCGGCCATGGCGTGGTGTTGGCCACCCACCCCCTCGCGTGTGCCGTGCCGACCTTCATTAGGTGTTGCTGGCGAACAGCACTTGCGCCAACAGTCCGTTGAGACTACACGGGGGACCTTTGTCTTTGTGTGTATGTGTGTATCTATGTGTGCGTCGCGGATGGCCGCTCTCACCGCTCGGTCTCGCGTCTCATGTCCTCGCGTTTCTGCCGGCGCTCTTCCCGCCTGCGTTCCCAGTCGTCCATGCTGTCCGTCATGGTTCCCTCGCTCGCCTGCTCACCCTGCGGTGGTAGTGGCGTGGTAATAGCGGTGGTGTTTGTAGGGCGGTGGTAGTAGTGTTAGTGGAGTGGGTGGTGGTGGTGGTGTTAGAGGTGTGGGTGGTGGTGACGGTGGTAGTCGTGTTAATAGTGTGGGTGGTGGTGGTGTTAGTAGTGTGGGTGTTGGTGTGGGTGGTGGTGGTGATGTTGGCGGTGGTGGTTGAGGTGGTCACATTGGAGTTGGTTCGTTGGCAGGCAGGTGGGAGACAGGGAGTGAGGTACAAACACACCATCGGTTAATAGACACAAACTTATCCGATTATCCATAATCACATTGCTTTTCATGAGCCCCACCACATTACCACATTCAGGCTGCCAAGTGCGCCGCACAAAGATCCCTCTTATTGTACGCCTTAAGGCCATAATAATCAAATTAAGTATTTGGTGATACTGCGTTGGCAGTGGTGCACAAGTACAAATAACAAAAACGCAAGACATTCGTCAATAACGCCGCAGCCTTAAAAGGAAATACGGTGTTTATATAGAGTGAGGTTTCACGGTGGATAATAATAGGCCACGAAAGTTTCAGGCGCGCTCGACGAACGAATAAAAGTGCAAACGTCCAGCGTGTCGCGCAACAATCTGCACGCGATTCACCAACCCCTCATCCAACGCGCCCGCATTGCAGGCGTGGGCTCCTCTCAAATTAGCACGATAATTAAACAAGAAACATCTGAAATTCTGGGCTGCGCGAGAGCTCAAAGCCAGACGTTGAGAGCGTCCGGAAAAAATGCGACCCTGAGCCGATGCACGGGGAGCGTGGGGCGCGGAAAGTATGCGGGCGGAGGGGACGCGGGGATCGGCACACCGCTGCGCCGGGGACGGCTCCCACGGGCGGCCCACCCAGCAATCGTGACCACCGCACCACCCCTTACCACACCATACCACACCGCACCACACTACCGCACCACCGCACATCACACCACTCCTTACCACACCGCACCGCACTACACTACCGCACCACCCCTTACCACACCACACCGCACCACACTACCGCACCACCACACATCACACCACCCCGCATCACACAGCACCACACCACACCACCCCATACCGTGCACCGCCAGATTGGTTATCGCGACCCCTGCAAGACTAGCGATGCTGCAATGCATCAGAGTCTGTTCGTTTTGAATCAATGCTGCTGACGCCATGCACTGATGGAAGTCTATAAAATAAAAAATAAAAAAATTACGTGGCGAAACACTCATATGAACGAGATTGCATCACCTTCTCATTTATTTTCGCTATATTCTCCACAATGCCGCTAAAGATCATTTCGTGGTTATGTTGTTGATGTTGCAGCAACGTATACTGGTTTTTTATTCCGGATTTTAATCGCAACCCCAGAGTCGCGACGAATCCATCGAATAGCGGGGGAGGGCGATGGTGAAGGAAATAATGACGGGTACCTAATCACCTCGGACTAATTTTCGTCCGCAAGCGGCCTCCTCGCTCACAGCCTAGGCACCATTGCCACTCGCTCCGGGCTCGGCTCAGCCCAGCCTGAGCCCGGCGTAGTGTGCCGGTCGGTGATCCCAGCGGAGGTAATTTTAGAAAAGGAGGAGGAGGGGGAGGAGGAGGAGGAGGTAGAAAAAAAATTGAGGAATTTGTTGATACAGTTTGCGGTCCTCGAAACGGAACACAGAGTTTCCTGCTTAAGGTGCTGCGATTTCCCAGATAGCCATCGCACAGGCGGCGTGTGCGTGTGTGGGACGTGTTCGCGTGTTAATGCGCACGTGTGTGCGTCTGTGTGCGCAGGGATGTGCGTGCGTGTCGATGCACACGTGTGTGTGTGATGCGTGTTCGCGTTAATGCACACGTGCGGTTGTGTGTTGCTCTGTGTGTGGTGCGTGTGGGATGCGTGTGCATCTCAATGTACATGTATGGGTGCGCTCGTGTGTGGATACGTGTTGCTTGTGGTTAGCGCACTGCAATACAAACCCGGCAGAGCCGCGAGTTCGATTCCCACTCATGGCACACATTATTGACAAATATATGGTACCAGACCTGAATTTCCCCTAGGTCGACTCGGCCTCAAATGGGTACCTGGTGTGGTGTGTAAACATCAGCATTGGGGAGACAAAGACGGCCGGGTGTGGCGCTGGCCACCTCCCACCTCGTGTGCCGCACTGGCACTTAATAAGTACACACTCGCTAAAAACACTTGCACCAAGAATCGTTAAAGGCTATATGGAGGATATTGATGTAGGCGTGCTGGCTTGTGTCCACTTCGTGTGTTCTGTGTGTGTAGCACCATCTCAGTGCATCGAGCTGAAGGTCGCATGGCCAGACGCCTCAGCCACACCGTGGTCGAGATGTTAACTCCCTTGCCTGGTATGCAGGAGGTCGTGGGCTCTATCCCAACCCTGACGCCTGCTGTATATTTGGAGTTTGCGGTGTCTCTCTCCCCGTGGTCGCGCGAATTTTTTCTCCGGGTCGTCGAGTTTTTTCCTCCACATTTAGAATCCACGTGCGTTAAGAGTGCATGGCTGCTATAAATGTCCACGTGATGTGATAAGCCACTTCGTTGAGCTCTCATTTGTGATGGCCAGGTCGCTTCCGAAAAAGAGCTATAGAGCTCAGTGGGGCATCACCTGGTAAAATTAAAAATAGTTTATAATTGTATAGTTTACACCGCGGTACGGTCACTGTACGGCCCCTCCAAGGCCCCTCCAAAGCACCCGCCGTGACCGGCCTGGCCTTGACACAAACGCAGGCCAGCTTTAGTTGTGTTTTTTTTTGGGTCTGGCCCCATGAGAAGGCCACTGATTGGAGACCGGGGGACGGTCAGTTCCGTTTTGTTTGCGGGGTCGCTCACCACCGCGCTGTGTGAGCCGCACACACTGCAGCGGGCGAGTGGTGGCGTGACCCTCTCTCATACAGCAGTGGTGCAGCTCCCGCGGCCATCACTTCTGCTTCTTCTTCCCCTGCATGGACAAAACCTCGAGAACCGTAACGATTCGTCGATTGAGTCGACTAATCGCCAACTAAGTTCAATCCTACGACTTGTTTTTGTGATTACTCACCCCCCCCCTCCCTTTAAAAATGGCTTCCGATTCTCCCCCACCCCCACTTAAAACCCCCTAAAAGCCATGGCCATCACCTCCCGTCCAGCGGCACACATTAGGACATAGGTGAAACATTTTTGTACCGATTATCTATTCGATTATTTGACAAATTTAATTAAAGTGGAGATTTTGGGGGGCAGGGATGGGAGTGGAGGGGAAAGTATCTCTTCTCTACGCACGTGTGCCGCTGGACGGGAGGTGGACGGGGGCACGGTGATGTCATTGACATCATCGGGAGCCACCGTCACACTGGGATGTGGCCTGCGTGGGGTTTCCTACCTTGGGGAGAAAATACGTGGGGGGGGGGGGGGGGGGCGAGGGTTGCCACCCATCCGATTTTGACCCGGCCACATGTGCCGCTGGACGGGAGGTGGATGGGGGCACAGTGATGTCATCGACATCGTTAGCTGCGTCATGCCGGGATGCGGCCTGCGTGGCGTTTCTTGCCTTCGGGAGGCACGACGTGGGGGCGGGGGTGGGCGAGGGTTGCCCCCCGTCCGGTTTTGACCCGGCCAGTCCGGGAATTGGGTATCTGTGTTCGTTCGGGTAGCAGGAATTTAATTGTATCAACCTCTGGTACCGCCATTATAGTGTTGGAACTCCCATTGCAGGATACCGTACAGTTCTGATGGACGTAGGCCCATCGGGATCTGCCTGGTCTACAGTGGAAAAGCGGGCAACGTCGCGTAGCAGGAGTTGTCTGCCATTTGTAAAGGGGCTTGAATCGTTTCAACCATGGCAAAAGTATTAAAGTCAAGTTCATTTTGTTTAACCAGGTGGTGAGAACTCAAGGGGCCAGGATGAGCCTCGTTTGCAAGCGCGATTGAAACCGGGGTCATCCAAACGACTGAAAGGAAATATATAAGTCCGAGCGAAAACGACGGTGGTGTCGAGCGAGAAATCTGAAACTCTCCTCGACTCTGAGACTCGACGAGTCGGTCCCAGCTCCGCTCGCAGCACGTGTAACGTCTAACGGGGCCCCGCACCCGGTCGGGGGATAGGACGGGGTTCGTTAAGAACCCACGAATCGCACGACAGGAAATGAATGCCCTTGAGAGCAGGCACGATCGGAATGATTTACAAAGAAAGGGTACAGTCCTCCTGCCCCGTGTCATGTAGCTGCATATCATTCCACCGCAAGGAGAGAGAGGAGACAAGAGAGATATTAGAGCAGTGGTGTCACGGGCCATAATCATTACGGATCTGTCTCATTCCGCAAAAAAACATTCTTTCGTGAGAGTCCCGCTTTAAAGACAGCGACGGTCTGTGTGTCTGGATCTCTCTCTCTCTCGCTGTCTGGCTTAGCAACTGGCAGGGGGAGAGAAGAGCATGGGGGGGGGGGGGTGTAAGGGAGGGGTGAAGTTCTGCAGTGGGGGGTGGCGTGGTGGGGTAGAGGGGATGGAGTGTGTGAGACGTGGAGGGCTCCACGTGAGGTCTCGCGCCTGGAGTTGTGATGCAGACGATGGCAGGAACGGATGATGATGATGATTATGGTGGTGGTGGTGGTGGGGGTGGTGGGGGTGGTGGTGGTGGTAGTGGTGGTGGGGGTGGTGGTAGTGATGATGGTGGTGGTAGTGATGATGGTGGTGGTGGGGGTGGTGGGGGTGGTGGGGGTGGTGGTGGTGGTGGGGGTGGTGGTGATGTGGTGGGGGTGGTGGGGGTGGTGATGGTGGTGGGGTGGTGGGGTGGTGGTGGTGGTGGTGATGGTGGTGGGGGGTGGTGGGGGTGGTGATGGTGGTGGGGGTGGTGGGGGTGGTGGTGGTGGTGGGGGTGGTGGGGGTGGTGGGTGGTGGGGGTGGTGGGGTGGTGGGGGTGGTGGGGGTGGTGATGGTGGTGGGGGTGGTGGGGGTGGTGATGGTGGTGGGGGTGGTGGGGGTGGTGGTGGTGGTGGGGGTG